AACATCTACCCTTTCGCCTTACTCCGCTTCTACGAGCAGAATCAGAGTGAATCTTCGACTAGTTCATGGAAACGTACGACGTTGTCCAGTCGCCCATATAGAGAGAGAGAGGGAGGACACTCCCCTCAGCAAGATGAACAGTGCATCGTCGAGCAGGTAAGTCTTCGACCCTGCACCCGTTCTTAGCTTCTTCATTTGCTTGGGAGAGTAACCTCAGAATGAATCTACTGCTAAAACCCGGTGAAATACAACACCGCCTTATTAACTCCTCCCCGGGGCGCAGCCTCATCTACTTATAACACAAGTACCACCACCTTTCTGCAAATCCTGACCGCATCATCGGATTCGCAATATGTTGAAACCTTCAAGACGCACCTTCCCTCACTCGCCTCCGCCAATAACAGAATGAGACTTCGCATTTTTGTGTGCGGCCATACCCATCTCTCGACACTTATCGCGCACGACGTTTTCTACATAACTCCTCATCTATTAACTTTTCACTAAAGGTAACACCATATCTAGGTTCGCCCACCCCCAAAGCCTTCTAACTGACTCTTCCTTTGCCAAAAACGATTGAGGATTGCTAGAGTTTTCGCTACCTGCTACACTCCTCCTATATCCCCGCCATCCTCAAGCTCTCTGCCCCTCTACGCAAGCACTCGACTCGACTTCTCGTCCGGGTTCATCCTCCCTATCAACGCCCGTCGTTGTCTACCCGGCTGCCCAGCTTCACTTGCAACGCTCTGCTCTCTCCTACCAGCACTATCTCTCGTTGGTGCACCCAAAGCGTGCTGCGACGAAAGTCAAAATACTCGAAAAAATAATAGTCGTGGAGTTCGGGCCATCTCTCAACTTATGCATGCCAACACACGCGCGGGCCCGCCAGTCTTATCTGTATCGCCCCGACTTTAACAGACGTCCCGAAGGACCCAGTTGGGGTTATTCCCCTCGACACTTCCAATTGGCCCCGCCGCCCTTGTGTCGGTTTATCGGTGGAAAGCAGTGGTACCCCCTCCCTTTTTGTGCCTGGTCGGACCACGGCCTGCATGCTAGGCCCCAAAAGGGGTGAAACAATTAAGTTGGCAAACACAAAGAAAAGAGAACAATAAAAAAGAAAGAACGTGAAAAAAAGCTACAGGGACGGATATTAAGGGGCAGCTGGCACCTGGCCAATCCCACACGTCGAACCCATCACCACCTCTACTAGCAAAAGTTGAGGGGGATAACCCTGGCGGCCCTCCGCCCCTCGGCTTCCTCCTCTTTGCTCCGCTGCTCCGCGCCGCTGCCTGCTGACCTCGATCCCCGCTCCTTCGCTATAACAGTCCGATGTCGTAACCTATAGGGCTAAGCCCAAGCCTGGAACCAACAGGCGCCAAATCCCATATGAGGTGGTGCGGCCCAGTGCTTAATGCTGAGGGAAAGCCTGGGGCCTCACCTCTACCTACAAACAGGCATGCGGCCGTTAAGTATTCATGCCGGCCTCCCCAACTGTGTCATGGTCGCCCCACGTACCATCCTACACACCAGACCTGCCGCCGATCAAGCACGGCAAACGAGGGTCAATCTACTAATCCTTAGTCTAATCAGTAATGCAAAAATCAAGTCAGACATCTATGCCGATAATACGACTAAAAGGGTAAAATCACATGCGCGTCTTAGAACTACGCGCCCATTCCCCCTATCTACTCAGACAACTCTGGCCCATACGCAGGCAACCATCTCGACCATGCTCGAACACTCAAAAAGTCTAAACCAACGACCCTTATGCAACTTGCAAAAACCAGGGCGAATACCCTTGTAAGGGTATTCGCGCCGACAACTTATCGGACCATATTAAGCGACGTCCCCGTCGCCTCGCATGATCAAAAGCTACCAAATCACCCATACTCCAAATGCTGACAAGAAAGGAACCAATCCGATTAGCCGACAGACTCAGGTTTGAGGCCTCCATCAATCCATGCCCACACAACTATATGCTTCGAGGGTTTCAACCTGGGTCTCCCTTGTCCTGACACTAGGACGCCGATGTACTTTGCATCAGTACTATAGCATAAGTTTCTAAAGGCCCTAATAACCGTCCTCTCCCCTTTGTCCTAGACAGACGCCGACCTCTCGTAGGGTGTCCCTAGCCTTTACCCTGTAAGCAGGGCCATAACCAGGGACGCGGACCCTCACCGAGACCTTTGAAGGTATTATAGCCTCCCTCTAAAAAAATTATCACGATCAAACACATATTTGTATGTGTCTTTAAATCTCATCTCAGCCCCTTCTGTGGTTCAGTACAGAAGTGCTAGGTCTCCATCTTGGCCCACCATAGTCTGGTTGATCGAACCAGATCTATGACCCACCGCGTTGTTATTTAGCGGTAGTGCCCTCGTAGGTTGTGCCACGATAGGCTTTCTCCTGATAAACATTTATTCAGGACTTCCTAAAAAATAAGACTCACATGACTTGACTCTTATCCCACGCCATTCCGCAGGAGTAAAACCCTCCTAGGCGACCACACCCTTTAAGTCTTTACCCCTTTGGTAAGACGTGGGCCCGCGACCAGGTTGCGCCGCCAGCAACCATCCCTAGGGGTTATGCCCGAGTGGTGCTAAAGCTTTACCGTTTAGCTTGGTCTTCCTTATATGCCCCAAGATTAACACAAGTGGTTGGATGGTGCGTCGCAACAATACAGGCCTATTGTGGGACTACGCATAGGCCTGTCACACATAAAAGATATTCCTAGCCCTCTGTGGGACAACAAAGAGAAAACATGGCAACCTCTCCACATTCACAAACAAAAAATCACCGCCAGATTCACCGGGCCGTGACCTCCCAACTTGATTTGAGTAAAAAAGTCACACATCTCAATGACATCTCTCAAAATCAAACCATTTTGCGACATTCCAGTAACTTCACCAATAGCCAAACAAAACCTAGTTCTTCTCGTCAGTCTTTATCTTTCAACATCAGCCTCCCATGCCATTAAATCCATTAACCACCTTTCACACGAAGGCGGTCTCACTCAATAGGTCTCCCAGCCATCCCTCTCTTTTTAGGGTGAGCTCTCACATGACCCTTTTTCTTAAAACATATTCCCTCTCTAAAGATGAGTCTTTCAGACAACACATAGGACCCCTTTTATTGAAAAGGTGTCTCAACCATAAAACAACACAAAACTGGAAGACCAACTTATGGGCCCTCAACACAACTCAAACAATAAACATCTGGCATGGTAAGCATTCGAGTTTCAAAGACTCATAAATCCTTTAGGATCCCCATATTTCCTATACAAAACAGGCTGCACTTCCCCTTCTTATATCTGGCCCTATCCTCCGCCCATGGGCAGGTCGCACGAGTATACCGAAGAGTAGACAATTCACACCCACCCATAATCATAAAATACAAAGCACACAAGGTGTTTTCACACACCTTTCACCCAAACCTTCATACATCAGGACAAGCCACACATGTGAGAGTGAGAGTGATCTCCATATATAAGGAAGTAGTCTCAAAATCTCAACTCAATATATACCCAGGAATAGAGTGTCTCTCAAAAACCCAATACGGTACTCAACGCCCTGTCCCTCTCATATCCGGCAGACTCATGTCTCAAGTATTTTAACTCTCCAAACACTTTTAAGAATACAAGTTAAATATGAATACAAAAACAAAAATGTAAGCCGAATATCCCGAGTATCACACAACTGAGTCCTATCCCTTGAGTCATGACAAGAAAATCCCCAAAGCTCTATTGTACATTATTTCCTATCTGTGTGCAGGAAACCAGGACACATGTATCTGACTTATGACATTCTACATCTCTGACTCACTCTCTCTATGTACAAAACACCTCACTCCTACTGACGTATAGACAAACCAGCCCCTACTCACTCATCTCCTCCTGGTTTTGCCTATACAACTGAGTTCTACCCCCATTTGGAGCTCTCTCCACCACTCGACCCTGTCTATCGTACATCCTGCCATCCTGCTCAGTAACCCGCCCTGCGGCCTTATCTTTGAGCAACTTAGGACACTCTAGGGCCCTGCGCATACCATCCAGAAACTTCCTCTTTTTTTCTGACTTTCTCTGAAACTTCCTATGACTTTCTCTGAAACTTCCTCTTTTTTTCTAGGCGCCTCGCGACGGGAGTGCCTCTCCCGGCCCCCTGCCCATCTCGTGACTCTGAGGAAGGTGCCATGACCCCTCAGTCCTTTCCCCAAGTCCTTGAGCACTCGAATCCCCTCGCTGCTCACTTCCCTTGGGCCTGTACTTAGGAGTATCCAGCCTCAGTGACCTGCCCTCGTGGGTCCTTGCTGTCACAGCCACTTCCTCACTCTCGCGAGGCTCTGAAGTCTGGGGAGTAGCTGCCCTTGCAGGCTGGCTTGTTGCCTCCTGCTGCTGGCCAACCCTCCTGAGTCAGTCCCAGTGGCCCAGGAGCCCAACTATGTCCTTAACTCCCTCATTTCCGGCACATGCTTCGGGGTCTCCAGCCTCTGAGGCCTCTCTGGCGGCATATCTACTTCCATGACCGCCACCAACTCGTCCAGTCGCGACGACTCTTCCCTTTGTGCCTAATGCCGAGGAGGTACCACTGCTCCAGTAAGGGTTCCTTCCTGCACTTCCAAAAGGATTGTTAGTGATTCCTCTGCAGCTTCTTCCTCTGCCGGTGCGGGCTGGGGCTCCTGAGTTGGCGCCTCCATTGGGGCACTGGCTGAAATAGGGGCCTCTTGCTGCGAGGCTAACACAGTGGGAGACTTGAACTCAAAGCTTCCTTTGTTAGCCTCTCTTTCCGCGCCTCTACCTCAGTCGGGGCAGAAACACCTTCTTTAGCTTTCCCTGCTGAGATGTCTCTGCCGCCTCCCCCTGGCCAAACAGACCCTGCATCCCTTCGCCTTGAATGCCATACCTGCTCTGTTCAGTCCAATCGACCACCTTAGTAGCCGAAAATCTTTCCACCGCAGCTGAGATGTCCCTGAGCCTTTTCTCCCACTCAGCTTCTTTTGCTTCCAGGCGAATCTTCCAGGCTTTGTTCTCAGCCTTTTCTTCTGCGAGTTGGGCAGTCAGCTATTCCACCTCTCCCTTCCTGATTGCCAGCTCATCACTGAGCAGAGTATACCTCTGGAAGGATGTGGTGGTTGCTTGTCGTATCCTTCTGTCCACCCGCTCGATGACCCTCCTGGCGGCAAAAAATCCCAGCTCTCCAATCTCTATCGCCTCATCTGCCCTTTCATCTACCTGTCCTGCCTCTTGTGACCTCTGGCGAACCGCCTCTCTTCGACTCTCATATCTGGCCCACAGCTCGTCAATCCTTTGCTCGCCTGTCTTGGGGTCAGCTGGTGGTGTCGGCGCTATCCCTGCAGCCTCCATCTTGTCCCTCTGCTCATGTATCTCCGCAAGGCGAGCCTGTATCCTAGCAAACTTTGCCTTTGCAGTCCCTTCTGGCACCTTCTTCACCCTCACTCCCCGGACCTCCCTGGCTGGAGCCTGCGCGCCCCTCTGAGGCTTGACGTGCGGTGACTCAGATGATGGCCCAACTACAATAGGTACCTCCATATCAGGGTGCTTAGATGCATGCGCAGGTAAGCGTGAATCAATGACCACATGGGGCTCAGTCCTTCATCCCTCTTCTGGTCCCCATGCCTCAACCTCCTGTCTGGGTGACATAGTGGCTTCTGGCAGGGGCACTGAAATCTCTTGGCCGTCTGACTCCGGGACTCCCTTTGGCCAAGGCTTCCGCATCTGCTCTGGAACTGGGGAATGAGGGGGAGTATCACCCTCTATCATAATAACCTCCCCAGCATGCAACTCCTCCTGGCCGCGTGGCTCAGCTTCCAGATCAGGGCGTGCCGGCTCCTCTCTTGATGGACCCGTGGGGCCTACCCCCATTGAGGGGGCCCCCCACTGGGAAACATCAAGATGGGCCTCCGGACTCCTAAACGGTGCCTCTGATGACCCACCCTCCCCCTGCTCTCATGATCGCAGCGAAGGTCCCCGTAGGTCACTACTAGTAACCTGACAGAACTCCACCTGCCTAAGTCCACAAGCAGGGGAAGACTCTGCCGCCTGAGTGAGTCATGCTCGCCCTCCTTCTCGCTGCGCCAAAGCCTTCCGACCTCCCATGGTCGCAATAGGCTCCCTTGGCTTCAGATCCCTTAGCCTCTTACTTCGTCGCTTCCTATCAACCCTGGGCCCTGCCCTGACTGGTTCTGGCCGCCGAAATGCCTCCCTCAACTGAGCCCGACAATCCTCCCAGTCACATGCCCGATCCCGGATCTGTCTTGCCAGTGGTCGCTCCGCCCCCCTGGTCTATAAGAGTAGAATCTGCGTCCACTCATCCCTCTGAACCCCCTGATCACTCATATAGTGCTCATATGCCGTGATGAACTCTTCCTCATTCCCTTCCTCCAGGCGAATAGGTAGCCCATCACACCCTTCAGGCGAAGCCCGCAATCTCTGCATCCTTGCCTCCACCTCTGGCCAGGTCAACGCCTCCTCCCTAATCTGTGCAATAGGCTCGTCGAACCTCCCAATCCCTCTCAAATGTTGTATCCTCTCAGGCACGTCCCACCCCTTCTGGGTCGCATGATCCCGATAGACGTCCTGGAAGAGCTCGATGTTGTCATCATCAAATACGGGTGTAGGCTCTCTCCTGAGGGGCCCATGCCGCTCTCCCCCTCCGGATACCCCGAGAGGTCTCTGTCGTGGCCGTGTGTCCCTCCCGCCAGGGTTGTCAGGCGAGGGCCCCCGGGGGCAAAGCCGGGGTAGGGGTTTGACCCCCGGACCCCCACCGCGAGGGAGCCCCACCCCC